TTCTGTGGCAGGTACTAGTAATTAAACTGCTGTGTGTTTCCACATAAAAATGCAATATTGATGAATGCGTATTTATAATATTGTTGCTTAGATTTGTCATAAACTGAAAATGTTGAATTTGCAGAAAATACAGCAGTGATACACATGTGCAGTGATTGTTATTGTACCAAAACAACCAGAACACATTAGAGAATTCATTGTTTCATCGAATGAATACTCAGATGTGTTACAAAAATAGCATTTTCATGTCATGATAAAACAGTCCAATGTATCTGTCAATATACAGTGTCAAACAACAGTATTACAAATAAAATGTTTTTTTTTCTATATTGCATTTTTAAACTGTGGGAAATCTGCTGTGATACCTACCTCTTCTGTTCATGTACTCACTTCAGATGGAATGTATATTTGTATGACTTCTGTGTGTTTTTTCTGATTAGTGAAGATTATTGTACACCTGTTTTTACATTGCATTCAGTGAATCTTAATGTGGTGTTTTGTGATTTTTTTCATGAGAACGTGTAAGATACAGTTCAGAATTTTGTGACATATTTCCATTTTTTCCAGTAATGACTTTTTACCAATAATGGTGTCACTAACACCCAATGCCTGTCAAATTGACTTTATCTCTTTTTTTAGAAAGCAAGAAAGATGGAAGACATACAGGAAATGATGGAAGAGCTTTCCAGGATGAACAAGGTTTGTGAATTTTCAATACTTCACTATCTGTCAGTTAAGAACATGAATTGAACATGAATTGTGCCCTCTGGTGTCCAAATGTGACATGATCTTCATTACTGCATTTAGTTTGATTGTTGGATGCTTATTAGTCTCAGTGCGACCAAAGTCCAAAAGTAGAAATTTATATGGATTGACATTCACTCTGTGGTTCTGTTCATGCATCCATACGTGCATCCTCACCTGTATCTCTGACATGCCAGCCTGATAACATTCTAACTTCACACATACATCTAGTGATATGTACAATCATTAGTTTCATTATCCAATTCAAGATGGCTAAATGGGGGCCATTTTTGTGCCAAATCAAAATCAAAATCGAGCATTTGTGGATCATAGTTGTGTATGGATGGATCTCATTCACACTTGGTATACATTGTTCATTATCCCACTTTTAAGCATGTATTTGTTTTTTGGACCGAATTCATAATGGCTGCTTGATGATCATTTTGTTTTAATGATGGTGTGGTTCTGGAGATACCTCTCTGACTTGCCTTGAACGATTCAAACTTTCTATATACATAATACCAAATCATTGCCAACAGATCATACTTCAACATCAATAAAAAGCATTGGTGTTCACATTTCCAATATTCAGAAATTCACGGATATTTTCAGCTGCACCACATTGCATTCTGATTGGTAAATAACTGGCCTGACCTGTAAAATCAAACAACACAGTTGCTTGTCAGTATGAGCAGAAAAAGCTACGACAAATATCATTTGAAACTAAGCATTTCTTAACAAACCAGCAAATTGATTTTTGTGTGAAACTATAATCATATAATCAACATTTGTTATTGTGAAACAGCATGACCGAAATGACTATAGTTCATGTGCCACTAAGCAGTGCCTTTGTATTTGCTTTCATTTAAAACTCTGCATCAGACTTTTTTTAATACTTTTTGTTACCCACAAAATGAATACCAATGCATATTACAGTATTTTTGTATTTGTATTTTTTTCTAAATTTGTATTTTTAAATTATTACTATAAAATGTCAGAAATGTTTTGAGACACCTATTTTACAGCCAAATGCTTACTGCTTGTTGCATAAATTATGGTGAAATTTCAATAAAAACATGTTATAATCATTTGACTTTTAATAAATTCCTGTTATCCCCGGTAGTTGGTTTTATTGAAACTAGGCCATTCTGCTAATGGTCTATATTATTATTGAACTAAGCGTTTACCGGTAGGTACAAATTTATGTGCCAGCATGTTTTAGTTTGCATTACACATAGAAAGTCTGCTTTCTAATTGTAAATTCTGTACCATCAATGTATATGTGTGCATAGTGGTTTGAACTGAGTACATTGCCTGTTCACATAGTGGAAGTAATTCTTCTGTTACAATTTATAGATTTTGACTTTAATACTGTACAGTGCATTACATGGTGAACAATGTCGTTTTAAAGTGTACAATCTAAATTCTAACTGGTTGGATTGCAAACGGATCATATGAATCCTTCATCACGTGCATTTGGTACTTGTTTTTGTCATAATATTGTACACAAGTTTGGCTTCTGAGCTATTAATTTGTTACAATGATGGAAACTAGTGAATTCTATTGCTATATTGATGGATCTGTTGGGAAACATGAAAATGCAGTTGTAAGTTTACACTTGATTGTTTGTTGGAAATTAATCAGATGCTATGTTATTTTTTATTGTTCCCACTATTAATGCAGAACTGATTCAATGAATAAACTTCTTTTATTTTGGTTATTTCTTAGGATGTCAAAGTGACTTTCCTCAAATTATACAGTGATTTTTACAGTTTACTGTAATCTCTTTATACTAGTCTATAAACGGAAAACTAAAAATTTGTACCAAATTTGGTTGATACAGCGATTCATATGCAACTGGACTTCAGCTATTTGCAGGTGTTTTTTGGCAAAATGTCCTAATTTTGTTCAATAAATTCAGGCAAAGAACCTTAATGTTTTCAGTTAAACTTACTGTTACACCCAAAATATGGCAAATAATTAAAAAAAAGACGCATGACAGTAGTTGCCATTTTGAACAAAATATTCCAAAGGTAAATTTGAGCAAAATGATTCACTGGTTTGAGCATGGAAATCTAAATGTGCTTGTAAAAGCATGTTACGTATGTGTATAATACCTAATAATGGCCCAACTATTAAGGGTATATATGTCTGTCTTTCCTCAGACAGAGAAATGAAGGCAATTAATTTCAGATGACGTACTTCAACACAAAACTGACTAATTTCATGAATTATCATATTACAACTCTATTAATCTGAAATTTGTACAAGTCTTGGCTTCAGTCATTGCATGTCTGATAATCCTTGATGATTAAGGAGGGTCAAGTCGAATTAAAATAGAGTGAGTTGTTTATCATACTGTCATTATTTTGGCCTCGTGCCATCAGGATACTAAAACGAAAAAATTGCGTTACCAGACAAATTAAGCAAAAAAAAAGGGCCATATTTTTTCAAAGTTTTGCTTGATGGCATGGGGTGAAAAATTCATGTATTATTATCATAAGAATCCTAATATTGTTGAAATATTTGAAAAGATGGACATACAATACTCACTTGAGTATAAAAACAGTTTTCCATTAGTTCTCCCATGATACATTGCATATGTTTGCCATGACATGTGCAGTAGTAAAAAATTTGAATTAGGCTTATACTACAATCCACCTCAAGCCATCGATGAATATATTAATGAAGAATTTAAAATTACAATGGACATTGAAATAAAACTGTCGCCTCACTTGTAAAATTCCTAGGAATATTGCTAGCAGTGTTGCTGACTCTGCCTTCAATTGTTGAAATTAACAACATGTATTTGAATATCGGCACTTTATTTGACCAGGGTGCTTGCATTTGAAATTAAATTTATGATTATGTTCAGATGTGAAAAATTAGCTTCTGGGATTCAACTTGTTATGTTGGGTGCATGCATATTATGATTGACATTTGAGATTATTATTGGAAAAGTTCTGATTACCTTATTTCTTTCCTAACCCATAATATTAATTGGTTGTTGGGAGTGCATAAAAGAGTTTAATGTGTCCTTCATAGGTTTTATAGAATTCATTCTTGTGTATTTATTGGAGTCTCCATGCAAATGCATCCATTTTAATAGACTAATCTTCATCAGATGTGCTGTGGCTGCATGTCAGTAATTCTGATATGTTTCACTGAAATTCTAGTATCTTTCACCAATCCATTTTAGAGGAATTGCCTGTAAAAAAGGTACTGCTGCTTTGGTAGTATGGGACAACTCTATTGTGCCATGATTTATAAAATAATGATCCAGTGTGGTACCTGATTTATCTGTTACACTACACCCACACAGAGAACAGAACAGGCTTTTACAGCTAGTGGTTGTTTTGTGTATGTGCTGGGAATGCATGTCATGCACGTCTATCATGAGGCGTTTTTGTTTTTTATGTCAACTGTGGCTGATATCTTACACAGTAATTCTTATGGAGCACTCGGTACTAGTATTAGAAACTACTGCCATCGAACTGAAACATGAAGATTATTACCATAATACAGAAAGGTTTTGAGTACCTCTGTATTAAATGTTTTCAGTGTGGCTGTATATCAAATAGTCTTGAATATGGTTAATAATGATAGTTTGCAAAAGTTGTTTCTTTCATAATTGCTTTGTATTGCTTTGTTCCAGGATTTGAAATCTGAGAAAACTGAGTTGGAGAATCAGTTGCTGGAAACAAAGCAAGAATTGATGACTTATCAGGTGCAGAAACAATTACAATTGGAAGAAAATGAAGATGAATTGTTGCCTGAGAAAAGAATCTCTCCTATTATTACAAGTACACCATTCCGTCGAGATAAAAATATATCACTTCATTCTGAGTTGAAATCTTTGGTAGGTTGCAGTGCTGTAATAAAGGCTAAAAATGATGTGATCCATGGACTCACTTCATCTCTGGCCACCTTTATAAACTGAACAGTATTAGTTTCATTAAAATATTTGATTTTGATATTTTTCACTGTGTTTTTAATCTGAGTATATTGTCAATCACATTACATCACCACATTCCAGTAATGAGATGATAAATACATCTTGAGTGTACTTCATAACTCTCAGACAATTGATACTAGCCATGTATTATTATAATACATTGTATATATATTTGTAAACTTGATGCGCTTTTTTCATGTTTTGCACACATGTGTGAGCACTGTGTCTGCTTGGCAAGAACCTGTCATATGCACCAAAAAATAATAAAGTAATGTTGTCATTCACTGCACTGTTTTTAATATCCAAAATGTGAATAAGTGATGTCATACTTATGCCATTCGATTTGTGTTTGATTTGAACCTTTAATGGGATTCTCACTCTTGTATGTTTCTATTCATATTAGGTATCAGCGGATGAAACTCTTCCATCTCCGTTATGTGGAGATGATCTGAATGATGACTCCGATGTGTTCTCCACAACACCCACGCTGTCCATGGATAAATTCAGCCAACTTGCTGCTCAGGTCTCATTTGACTTCCAGAGAAAGAAAGAGTTTATTTTACAACAGATCAATCAGTTCTCTGCTTCTGCTACACTAGAGGACAAATCAAGGATTTCCACACCAGAGGTTGGTTCAATTTGATGAGATATACAATTACATGCTTCTGCTTGCCCCCACAGTCTCATACACTCAAAATAGCTAAATTTGATTTCATACAAAAATACAAAAGGCTGATCTAGACAGAATTCTCTCTAGTCCCTGCCATCACTATCTCCCAGTCTGGCACAGGGTTTTTACCATTCATCTGTGGAGTTTTTAATCAGGTAATGTGTTAATGAGATATGTACATGTATGCGAGAGCATAACAATTTTAAACAGATTACTTACTGGTTTTCTTATAGAAATTAAAAATTGATGTTGAAGATAGTATGGAGTTCTTTGTGGAGAAAGTGAGCAGTCTTGCTGAAATGAAGAAAGAATCTGACAAGAAAACACGCAAACTATCAACAGAAATAAGGAGATTAAGAGGTTTGCAACCCCACCCCCCACTCCCAAATAATAGAAATGATTAACATGTCCCATCTAGATCCTGTGATGTGATTGGTTGTTACGTAGGATTATGTTGTTACACTGAAATTAGTGTTTGCTCACATCAACCCAAAGAAGGAATCGTGGTATTATGTTATTATCCCCTTCACTACTTGACTGTAGTGGTATCAATGTGAAATATAGTGAAATTGTCATTTGTGATTTTACTTGATGGCGTTCAGAGAGATTCCATGACTGTCATTTTCATTGTTCCTATTTTAAATTTACCACCACTTTACCAATAACTTTTTAGGCCAAGTTATATATACATTTTATTTTCATAAAGGTATATAATTAAGTGAAGAATTACTGTATTGATAAAATTTTGCAACTTGAGTCCCAATAAAGCCTTTGAGAATTCACAATTTTCTCTAACTCTTGAAAATGGACCTGTCGGAATAATGAGAGCAGTTTCACACACATTTCATTGTAATATTGTCTCACTTACAAACGTATGTCTGTTACAAATTTTAGGAGAGAACATTCGAATAAAGAAGAAACATGAGCAGGCAATACATCTACTAGAAAACTTATCTCAGAATGAAGCAGAGAGTAGCATAGAAATTCGGGAACAATTGAAACAATCTTTAACCAGTGAGCAGAAAAGAGTGAAAGAACTACATGAAAAAGTAAGTCTTGCATTTATTTTATGACTAGTATTATTACAGGACCTGTTTCAAGTGTTGGCTCAATATTTATGGATTCAGGTATATGCGACTGGGAACAAAGAAATGTGCTGACATACTTTATAGTTGCACTGGAAATAAAATGAGTGAGTGAGTGAGTGAATGAATGAATGAATTTAATCCAATCTGTAATACATTGCCAATAAATAATAATTATAATCTATGATAATCTGCTTTCAAGGGTTAATATCAATCAATTTGACGAGCACTTAATTTCAAGAAAGACACAAACAACTAGTCATGCTATCACATGATAACATAACAAAACTAATATTGTTAAATTACCAAGTTTTGTCTTTATACATGTATTATTAAAATATTACTAAAGTCCAAGTCTTGAAATTTTACAATATATGTCTCCCATATGATGCAGTGTAAAATATAAATATCAATGCATGTACACAATAACAGGGGCCCTAACAGTATTATTTTTGCTGCCTACAGCTGACTGAGACATTGAAAGATCTAGAAGCTGTCAGAGAAGAAGCGCACACATTGACAAATACACTTGAAATTCAACTTGAATCAAGGACCCAATTAGAAGAAGAAATTGAAGAGCTTAAAAAGTAAGTAGGCCAAGTAAGCCATGCTGTGTATTCTAAGCTCCGCATTTAACCAACTGTGTTTATACTGGCTATTGTTTGGGTATTGATGATTCATTGAAAGATTTATTGAATCTCAATACCTAAGGGTTCTTATGTTGTAGGCAATACCTAATACATATATTGGAAGCAAGGTTTTTTTTTTAGTTCTTTTTCATCCAAGTGTTTATATTGTTTGATGAAAAATTGCAGGACGAATAGGTAATCAATGCTGTACAATGAATGAAGCTCATGCAAGTTGGGAATTGGACTCTGAAAATACAAATCAAAGCTATGTGGTTGATTCAAAGCACATCTCCATTAAAACTGCACATAAACCAAAAGTTGCATTTATTGTGTACCGGGTCTGACCGGTAAATTAAATTTTTTTTTTGTTTAACCAAAGTGCATGTTATACTTATTTATTAAGCAAATACATTACAATGTATCTGTCACCGCTATTTCAACCCTTAATAATAATAAGAAGTAGGGAAAAAAGAAGAATATTTATTGCATCTTTAGAAAGTATTTCTATCAGTACAGTAACAATAAAAGTATAACAAAGTATAATAATAAATATGAAATAATAAAGAAAGAAAAAATCTTATAATGTTAAGTATAAATTTAAAAAGTAAAATATAATGTGTTAATACTACTAATAAGTTTAATAATAATAAACCCTTATGTGGTCAAGTTAATGTAAAAGTACATAGGGCTGGCAGGATAAGGGTTAATTAATTAAGATCTGTATTCATTACTTGTGTGCACCAAAATTATAAATCAAAATAAGTTCTTTGTGAAAATTTTACAGTCAATATATGGCGAGAAGTAATCCTTTCATTCTCAAGAGGATGTACCTAATAACCACCAAGTAGATACAAGGATTCATTATTAGAGTACTGATAGCTTCAAATCTAGCTGGAATTTTCTAATCTTTCCTTTGACAATATTTTTCGATCTACAGTCGCCTAATATGAGCTAACATCATCAAACATTGACTTCCTCTAGTTTTTCAACTAATTATAAATATGTAGACTGTTGCTATTGTCCTTGAGGGAAAAAAAATGTCCATTATCATCTGAAATTGACCATTTTTTTTAGGTTAAATAAATGTGCTTCGTGCATTGAATTTGTAGTAGGTCTCATCAAATTACTGTCATTTTTGTTTTTATTCATGCTTAATTGCTTGCATAGTGTATTTTTAAAATTTGTCAGAAATTAATTTGCATATAAAATGTCAAAATCTATTCTTGCTGATAGTTGTTGATCCAAAGTGTTGAAATATTATTATAAACAATGATCAAATCAGAATCAACTTTATTCTGGTGACACAACAGTAACTTATTATTAATGTGATCACTATTATGGTATTTACTGTTTCTAGGAAATTACAATGTACAATGTACTTACAATGGTGACCTAAAATCTCCTTTTATTTTGACTATAGAGGGCATGCTTTAATTTGTAATTGATATAATACAAAGTGTTCAAGGCATGATTTGATAATTTCAATGTGCTCAATAGGTGTTTTTTCCACTCACTGTGAGTTCTTGTGCAATGTGTGAAAGGTGCGAGCCGTATAACTGCCACAAAATTTGAATTTGAATTTAAATTTAGGTTTTTTAAAGGGCGGCAGTCGTCGTGCCTCGTCCTGTTCGATATGGGACTCACATCGACATGTATAACGCGTGTAAAATACATTGTTTATTTACATGAAATTCGAACACGTGCTGTGTGCTGACCACCATGCTTCAAAGCTCAATGTTGAAATACTGATCTTTAAAATATATGGCATTGAGATACCCTTTAATTTACTTCATTAAAATTGGCCATCATCATATGTGTATAGCATATAATTAAGTGAAGAAATATTCCAAAGTACAATCAAATTTGTAGAACCCCATATGATGTTTTGACCTCATAATGATTCTATGAACTTAGTTTGTCTTGTTTTTATGTGGGATCTCTCAGTGAACTAACTATTGCCAGAATTAGATTTTTTCAGATTGCATCATGTAGTACTAATAGCAAAAAGTTAACAAACCTGTAATTCCATATTTATTGTATTCATTGTACTTTATTTCAGAATGTTAGAAGAAACTAAAAAACTAAGCCAAGGTAAGAAAAATTTATATTAGTAAACTATTAAAAAAGCTTGTACTCTAAAAGTTAAAGGATACAGAAATGAAACTGATTGATGAATCTTTTATCATTTATCCTCTTTACAACTTACAACTAAACAGAAATCTAAAACACCATTTTTGACATGATTAAGAAAGTAGTAACGGTACACTTGTAAAACAAACACTGAGATTGGTTACTCTCGAATATTGAAATCTCATCTTCCAAATGCAAGTTTTTTGCTTTATTTTTGAATGTGCTGAGATAACTTTAGAAAAAGATTATATTGTCGTACCACTGGATTGTAAAATCCTTTAAAGAACAAGTTATAATTGATTTATAACATACATTGTAATTTACTAGATATGAAAAAAAAAAAGTTTGACATGCATTGAAGCCATTGGATTGGCTTTTACAGTGAAATAACACCATTGATACCAGAAACTAATTATATTAGTTTCATAACATGTTTTCACCACTAGAGGACAGTGTTCAACTTAAAAGGTGTATCACATCAAAAGTTTCCAAACATTTTTTTTTTCTTCTGAGATTTACAACAAATAGATAAAAATGTATTTTTTTTATCAGCAAAACTCACAGACCTTGAATCTGAAGTAAAACAGGCTAAAGACACAATAGTGAAGGAACAAGAAGAAAACAAAGCTCTGAAAGAACAACATAATAGTGAACTGAAAGCTATATTGGATCTAGTAGCTGTTGAGATCACTGACTCAGGAACAGAGTGCCAGGTAAGATACAATCTCATGTCAGTGTAAAAACTTGAAATGTTTTTTTCATACAATGCATGCCTGCAAGTTGTCTAATGTCTCCTTGTACTTTGCAAGTACCTGAAAGGTATGTAATCTTTGGACTTCTATTATCCCCCATACATCAGATGGTAACTCAATCATTTTGTGTTAGGGTGAAGAGTGGCTTGGAGGCTTTAAAAGCTCACCCAATACAATTGCTTGACCCTATATTAATAGCTCACAGTACCATATAAGTCTAAGTACAAGTTTCCTAAGTGTTTTACAAAGACTTGAAAAGTACAGGCTAACTTATGGTGGGTGGTTTTTCAGTCTTATTCTATAAATTATTTATTTTGTTGTGAATTATTATAACTTATACAAGTATTGTGATTTTGAAGAATGATTCTAAAGTACATTTGTTGTGTGTCTGTATGCAGGTGAGCATTCTGTACCTGGTCATTGTAAATTGAGGGTTGTTACTTGGAAATCTTATAACATACTTAAGTACTAATTTATGTTCTTGTTTGTTGTTCTGTATTTGTTTATCACTTTAACATTTAACCTATTGGTTTTAGCGAGACTCTTATATCTTATATTTAGTGATACTCATTTATAACATTTACTGATTACAACTCTGATCCTGGAATAGAATTTAGCAAAGTCCATGAAGTTCATAATCATGTATGCTCCACCTGACTGCCTTGGTGGTACCTTTCACACCTTTCAGTACTTTTACCTCATAATACCGTAGCTATGCAGTGAGAATAAGTGTGATCAATTGTTTTATGAGGGTTAATAAACCCAGCCAGAGGCTGGTTGCTCCTTTCACTTGACTGGTACACATTCACTTCAGTAAAAAGTTTATACTTTATTGCTGTCTTTTAACACTTCCCTTTTAAATTTGATCTTAGTGGCTGTATATGTTGATCTGCATGAATTCTCTGTAAATTTGGCCTTCATTTATTATTATTATTTTTTTCCTGTTATGCAACAACCAGCATATAATGATTGAGCTAATAAATAATTGCTTTCTGTTGTTTTTTAACTGCTTTGTTGCTTTCATTGTAGTTGTTTGGTTTCAAAGGGGAATATTTAGCAACTGGCACTATTATATTAGAAATAGTGAAAGATCGTAAGACCACCCACCCTCCCATGGAAAATTAATTATAAACTACATGTAAATTACCTTATTTTAGCTGGTGTTTTGTATGGAATTTATCTTCACTGATTTTTGGCGAGATTATTGGAAAACATAAAAAAAAGGTATTTTCATATTATCACTGACTCATCCATTCAGCGAAAATTGCTAAAATGAATTCCAAGCAAAAATAAAGTATTATACAGTATGCAAATTTACCATATTTTTTTCAAGACCTGATTAGAAAATAAAATTCATC